ATCAGATCTGCCAAGATGTACTGGGAGTGGGAAGGAATGCTGCATGGAGGCTCGCTCGGAGGGACCCCAGGAGATGGAGGCAAAGGTTGGGCGCGGCAAAGCGCAGCCATGCGTATGCCCCCTTATGATGATGATGATATGCATGTATGTATGTATGTATATATGTATACACACACACACACACACACACACACACACACACATATATACATATATGTATATATGTATATATATATATATATATATATATATATATATATATATATATATATATATATGTATGTATATATGTATATATGTACACACACACACACACACACACACACACACACACACACACACACACATATATATATATATATATATATATATATATATATATATATATATATATATATGTATGTATGTACATATACATATACGTATACACACACATACACACACACACACACACACACACACACACACACACACACATATATATATATATATATATATATATATATATATATATATATATATATATATATATGCATGTATGTATGTATGTATATATGTACACACACACACACACACACACACACACACATATATATATATATATATATATATATATATATATATATATATATATATATATATATATATATATATTTATATGTGTGTGTGTGTGTGTGTGTGTGTGTGTGTGTAATCACAAAAAGCATAGAATTTGCTATTCGTCTTCTCTCCATTTTACTCACGTGTCAGGACGATATTACTCACACGTTAGATGAATTTCATTTGTTTATTTCATCCTTTTCTCAGAGGGAATTATAGAATATGAAATTTTAACACTGTGATTAAATAAAAGTAATAATATCTAATAAACAAACATTATATAGTAAAAGTAAGAATGGTGATAATAATCAAGATAGCAGATAGACAGATAACGAACTTATTGTTAACATTAAGGAAATAATGAAATGAAACGGAAATCATGAAGTATTGTAAAAAATATATATATATGATTTAACTATGAGCTATTCAATTGATGGGCAGATTATTAACTACCCCCCCCCCCCCCCAAGAAAAAAAATACGTGTGTATAGATAAGAATGAAAGACGAGCGTATGAATTATTTGCTGTTATCTTTATGTCACTTTTGTCATCATCTTTATTGTTATCGTTATCTTTCTATGAGTATCTTCGGTTTTTTATCGGTTGTTTTGTCTGTTTTCTTCTTTCGCTTGATTTGAAGTTCCTGTCAATAAGTTTAAATGTTGATTGATGTTCACATTAAACTTACGGTTCAATTAATTAAGGATAATATCGTATGAAATTATAATTCTGGATTAAGTTTATTCATCAAATCTTCGGTCAATGAATTCACATTAAGAAAAAAGACTCAAATACAATCTTTTTTTTCTCTCTCTTTTTCTTTCTTTCTTTCTTTTTCTTTCTTTCTTTTTCTCTTTCTTTCTATATCCAACTTTAATCAATATTTTTTTTTCTCTTTTTCTTTCGCTTTCTCTTTATTTATTCATTTATTTTATATTTTCTTCCCACAGGTGTTCGTAGTTGAGGCTCGGTTGATCGTCCAGGTAAGGTGTCAAGTGTCAGAGAGAGGGGGGGGGAGGTAATCAGAGTGGGAGGGGGTGTCATGGGTAAGGGGGAGGGAGGAGGAGGGGGAGGGGGGTTTGATGGGTAAGAGGGGGAGGATGAGGTGGAGGGGGAAGGTGTCATGGGTAAGGGTGGGAGGAGGAGGGGGAGGGGGAAGGTGTCATGGGTAAGGGGGGAGGAGGAGGGGGAGGGGGAAGGTGTCATGGTTAAGGGGAGGAGGGGGAGGGGGAGGGGGAAGGTCTCATGGGCAAGGGGAGGAGGGGGAGGGGGAGGGGGAAGGTGTCATGGGTAAGGGGGGGAGGAGGAGGGGGAGGGGGAAGGTGTCATGGGTAAGGGGAGGAGGGGGAGGGGGAGGGGGAAGGTCTCATGGGCAAGGGGAGGAGGGGGAGGGGGAGGGGGAAGGTGTCATGGGTAAGGGGGGGAGGAGGAGGGGGAGGGGGAAGGTGTCATGGGTAAGGGGAGGAGGGGGAGGGGGAGGGGGAAGGTCTCATGGGCAAGGGGAGGAGGGGGAGGGGGAGGGGGAAGGTGTCATGGGTAAGGGGGGGAGGAGGGAGGGGGAGGGGGAAGGTGTCATGGGTAAGGGGAGGAAGGTAATGGGAAGGAGGATAGAAGGAAGGGAGGGAGGTGTCATAGGTAAGGGGGAGGGGGTAGTGGGAAGGGGGGGTGTCATGGGTAAGCGGGGGGAGGGGGGGAGGGGGGGAGGGATCCCAAAGAATAGAAATGGTTGTAATGATACCTTAATGGGACCAGAAATCACGTAAAACAAAAATCTATGAAATGTTAACAGATCTATTATCAATGGGTGTTATTACGATATAATCTTAGGCTCACTATTATAGTTTTTTTTTCTCCTTGTTATTGTGACATATGATACACTAAAAAAACAACTGATTCAATG